TGCTCTCTAGAGTTAAGGCGACCATATTATCGACCTGAACGCCGTGACCGACAGCCCATTTACGCGTGAGACACATGGCCTGGTCCCCAACCCTACATCGATCAGGCTTTAAATGAGTGGGAGGTCTCTGATAACGTAAAGATAAAATTAAGGTCGAGCCATTCCATTCAGTGACCCCTATTCCTGGGGAAGACTTAGTTGATTCCGTTAGCCGAGTCTTTATATTTCGCAATAGTTAAAAAGCGTCCCCATCTCTTTAAACTGTGTACTCGATCCCAGCTGGGTGGCCTTCACCCTTTTTGCCATCTCTCGTAAGTCATTGGTGGTCGTTTGAGTCAAGCCTGTAGTCGTCGTGTGGAGACGTCCAGGGTGTGCCTGTACGAGGCCTGGTTTCCCTTGTTTGCGCGGTACTATTAAATAGTGACATAAAAACAAGTCATAGACCCCCAATTTATTCCCAGCTGTTTAATGAGTCTTCCTTATCCGCACAGATCCTCTTTGATTATGAACTTCACCTTCTGACATATTTGTTATTCCGCTTACGTTACGCTTATCTCCTCCAGCTTCTGGACAAGTTTGGTACCGCTCTCGGCTCCTCCAACACATCTGCTCTGTCTCCGGAGGCCGCCGCCGAACCCGTCCAAAACCCACTCCTAACGCTCCTCCGCTTACCGGAAGACATTTCAAGTCCTGAGCCGGTGTTGCGCTGCATACGTGGGCTTGCCACGGCCTATTCAGGCGCGTCCCAAAATATTCCCGCTTCCTCTGTTAGCACTCCTCTGCCCCCCGCCTACTTGGACACGTTCAGAGGTGTGTGTGTGCTTGTAGGATGTTTTGCTTACGTCAATATTTTCTCACCAGGTTTTCATTAGTGGTTTGTTGTCTGACGGAAACTCGCTAATCGCGGCACCAGTATCTTCAGAAAGTCTAGTCAAAATCCGCGGCCTTCCGGACGCCAGAAATCCCATTTGAGTCCTCAGTTGTTAGACTGGGGGTTGCATGTAGATGTCTAATTGAAGAAGGGTTGCATGGAGCCATTAGCCCCTGTGGTACTCAACCTTAAGGTTCCAGGGATTTGCTTGACGATGAGCAGGCCTTACTGGATGACTAACAGTTTTCAACCTGTTTTAATACCCCTATACTTTATGTGCTTTTTATGTGTGGTCAGTTTTCTGGATCGCGTTCTTCTAGTTCTCATAGAACGATCTGTTTGTGCCCCCCCAGTTGGCCCATTCTTCGTCCCCTCTACTCGTCTCCTTTTTGTAGATGAAGTCCGGTCTTACGTGGAGTCCTGTCAAGCTCGAAGCGCCAAGGTACTGCAGTCTAATCTGGCACG